ATGATTTATTAATATGCATTATTTTTAGAATTTAAAATTCTAATTTTTCTACACAAATCATAATGCTCAAGCTGAGATAATCGATTTAAAGCTTTTTCAACAAATGAACTGCAACTTTTGATGAGTTATGAGGCGAGGCTTTACCTATTTTGATAGGGTTGAAGCCCTATCAAATTATTTTCCTTTAAAAAAAAATCTGTAAGTGAAAAAAATGTGATTACGTTAAAAAACACTTATTGATCATTCCAAATACATCTAAATCATAATAAGAGGTACTCACCCAAGTCCCAGTACACTGCTACTGTATTCACATTATTTGAAAATCTTGAAATTAATTTTGTGTGGGCATGGCAATATCATGGGCTTGTGAAGTTGCATTAGTGGTGGCATCACGTGGGAAACTAAACTCGACCACGGGACTCGGCCCTTGTTTAGCTAAGCAACTTGACTCAACCTGAGTTACTCGGCTTGAGTCCGGTCAGGTCGAAAAATATTAAAAAAAAATAATAATAAATAAAAAAATTCCAAAAAATAAAAAAATATTTAAAATAAAATTAAACAAAATACATCCAAATGAGGTTAAGAAATTAAAACGCAGTGAAAAAATGGATTTTGAAAAAAATCAATTTGTGATGGGGGCATTTTAAAAATAATCCAAAAAGAAGGAAGATGTAAAAAGAAGCATTCATGGCCAAAACATTTTCCAATCTTTGCCAAAACAATGGAAAATATAAAAAATATATTACAAATAAATTTCTTTTTTTTTTGGATATTTTATAATTTGTTTGAATTTCTTTTAAAATCCACAGGTCGAACTACCTAAGTCAGGGATACTGGATCGGTGGAGGTGGCGAGTCCGATTTATGGGGTGAGACCAAGTCGGTTCGCCCGAGTTTACCCCCACTGGCGGTGATAGGACACAGTAAATTGCTCATAAACCCACTGTTCGTTTTGATGACGGACGCTAGAGATTAACCTTTGTACCCGGTTATGCGTATTAGTGAGCCGGTCTCCATCTTTGCCATTGGAAACAGGATGTGTATGTTCTCGTAACTTTCTCGGGAGAAGTTTTTCCATTTGAACTAGATTATTATTCAAAAAAAGAAAAAAATTTAAATTTGAGGTTCCTAGATATCACCCCTAAACTTTTTTTTTTTTTTGACAATGTTATAAGCTCTTTATTGAATATATGCTTAACAAACATCAGATTACATCGAGGAAGTTAATGCATTAGAAATAAGCAGAGAAAATAAAGAGACTCCATGCTTTGCAAGATGGTTTGCCTCATGATTTGCATCACAATATGCATGAGAGAAAAAAATCCTGAAACCCGCGGTAGCACAAGGATAAGTGATTTTCAACCATTTAATGATATTAAAAGAATCCCTTTCAATAAAAATATCTCATGAGAAGTCTCCATCAATAATAATATGTAATCTTTGTAGAAAAGAACAGATCTTTGTATTAACCGTGGTAGAACTGCAAGGCCCAACATAAGAAAAAAGAACAATACCATTTAAATATTTGACTATTTTTATTCAATCTGGAAATATTATTATTTTAAAAGGCACAGATGGTGATATTATGAATTGTTTTTCTTGAAGCTAATTAGGGGTTGAAGAGGTAACATCCCCAAAATTTGGGATCTACTCGAGGGAGTAAATGGATGTCCCCCATGAGAATACAATATTTTATGCTTTTTATGATTGAAAGTAGGTCCAAAATAAGGGCGGCAACCCACCGGGCATGGGCAACGACAGCCTTGGCCCCTGGCCTGGCTAATCTAGGGGTTTGAAGGGTTACATCCCCAAATTTTGGGATCTATTCAAGGGAGTAAATGGATGTCATGACCCCATGGGAGTACAATATCTTCTGTTTTTTATATTTGAAAGTAGGTCCAAAATAAGAGTGGCAAGCCGCCGGACCTGGGCCATGGCAGCCTTAGCCCTGGCCTGAACCTTGTCAGTATCGGGCAACCCAAGCCAAGCCCAACAGGGCTAGGGTGGGCCCAAGCTTGAACTCACAAGGTCAGGCTGGGCTTAAAAAAAAAAAAAAAAAAAAACGAAAAAAAAAAAGAAGGAGTCGGGCTAACACTAGCCCTAGCTCCACCCTCAGGCCATAGTGGCCCAAGCCTACTTTTTTAGGGCCGCGCCAGCGAACCTAGCCCCACTTCCTGGCTAATTGCCAGCCATTATCCAAAATTTAGGGACCTAGCACATGCTTTCTCTTGTTTTTTTTTTTCACATTAATCTATTGATGCCAAAGCCAGTGCTCTATGCGTTTTCATGTACCTAGTGGAATGAGTGGGGAGTCCACGTCATCTCAATAACCAAAGATACGCGGTGAAAAGAGGGCCACCATTTCCACTCAACTTGCAACTGGTGAGAAATAAATCTACTTCCAAATGAAAATGGCACATAAATTTTAGAGCGAGAAAGAGTTAGAGAGAGAGAGAGGGGCCACTCTACTTCTCGCGTCTCGCCCCACGAAAAGCCGTTTGTCTTTTCTAAGCTGGAAGAGGCACCCAACGAAAATCAGGAAGTACTGACACGCCTGAAAACACACGAGCAAAAATATGCATGGGATTCCAAGCCTAATCCCATCGCACTCTATTTAACACATATTAAACGTTTAAATCAGAAAAAAACTTTCCTAACGTAAACTGAAGAATGATTTTGTCTATTTTTATTATCATTAAATTTTGTTATATAATTTATTTTTCATTATTTTTTTAATAAATCTAAATTACTTGAAATTTGAAGAATCTGTACATCTTAGTGAGGTGCACCTAATAAAAATATAAAACAAATAATTCGTAAAATATAAATTGATATAAGATATATATATATATATATATATATATATATATATATATATATATTATTATTATTATTATTATTATTATTATTACGTTACGTTACGTTACTTAGTTACTAGTACTACGTACTACGTTACGTACGTACGTACGTACGTACGTA